CTAGATTTAGATGATGTTCCAAACGATGACCTGGACATAGTGGATGAAGTAAATCATCCAATAATGGAAGATGAGCCCTTAAATGAGAATATGCCTATGATAAATCAACCAGCTGAACCTGTCCAACCTGTCAACATTAGTGGTAATAAAAGACACAGAACAACACCTGCATGGATGGATGATTATTATTTGTATTCATGCGAACCATCATGTTTCTCGATAGATATTGACATAGATGAGCAAGCTGATCCCTTAAATTATGTGGATGCTATGAGCACACATGAATCGGAACAATGGCTAGAAGCCATGAAAAGGGAGCTTGACTCAATAGAGAAAAACAATGTATGGGAGCTATGTGACTTACCAGAAGATAGGAAGTCCATAGGATGCAAATGGGTGTTAAAAAAGAAATATCGGGTTGATGGGTCTATTGATATATTTAAAGCCCGTTTAGTTGCTAAAGGCTTTACTTAGAAGGCAGGTATAGATTATCAGGAGACTTATTCTCCGGTGGCTAAGTTTGCTTCTATCAGAATTATCTTAGCAATTGTTGCACATCTTGACTTGGAACTTTTCCAAATGGATGTCAAGACTGCATTCCTCAATGGAGAATTGAAGGAAGTAATATATATGAATCAACCTGAGGGATTTCAGGTTGAAGGACAGGAAAATAAAGTATATAAATTAAAGAAATCTTTATATGGTTTAAAACAATCATCTAGACAGTGGTATCTCAAATTTCACAATACTGTTATCCAACTTTGTTTTGTTGCAAATAAATTGGATAACTGTGTATATGTCTTGAAGAGTGGCAGTAGTTTTACAATATTGTCCTTGTATGTGGATGATATTCTACTGGCTGGAAATGACATAGAAGTGCTGAACAGAATCAAGTCAGCACTTAGTAGTGAATTTGAGATGAAGGATATGGGAGATGCATCCTATGTTCTTGGTATACAGATCCTTAGGGATAGAAAATCTAGAATGTTAAGTTTAAACCAAGAAAGATATTTGCATACAATACTTAGAAGGTTTGAAATGCAGAATTGTAATCCTGCACCAACACCTTTGGTTATGGGAAAACGGTTGTGTAAAGAACAATGTCCTGGAGAAGGACAGAAACTGCTTGATGTCCCGTATGCACAAGCTGTTGGAAGCTTGATGTATGCAATGTTGTGTACTAGACCAGACCTAGCATATGCGGTGAGTTTGGTTAGTAGATATCAAAGTAATCCTGGTCCAGCACATTGGGAGGCTGTTAAGAGGATTTTGAAGTACCTGAAAGGTACTGTGCACCATAAGTTAGTTTATCAAGCAGATTCGCTTGAGGTTCTTGGTTACTCCGATGCTGATTTCGGAGGAGACAAAGATGACGGGAAGTCCACTTCCGGACATTTGTTCATCTTTGGTGGTGCAGCTGTTTCTTGGGGTAGTAAGAAACAGGGATGTGTGGCAAGATACACACAAGAAGCTGAGTACATAGCCTGTAGTATGGCCACTACTCATGCAGTCTGGATAAGACGGTTCCTAAAGGACTTGGATCTCAATTTGGTGGATGGACCAATTGAGATATACTGTGATAATCAAGCAGCCATCAGCTTGATCAACAGTGGTGCAAACAGTTCTAAAGGAAAACATATTGAGATACAATATCATTATATTCGTGATATTGTGGAAAAGGAAGAAGTCTGTGTGACTTATATTCCTACTAGTGATATGATTGCTGATCCCTTGACAAAGGGTATCCCAGCAGGTACATTCATCAAACATGTTAGTTTGATGGGACTTAGAAATGTCTAAGTCAAGGAAACTTTCATGAAAAATGAAAGGAGACGATCATGGGTAATGGTTGTACTCGGTTTATTCACGAAGAGTGAAAAGTGTATATATCTCATGGATAGTGAGAGTATGAAATTACATCTTGAGTCACATCTCACGGATAGTGAGAGTGTATACTTAGAAAGTATTTGGCCATTTCGGCCAAGTGGGAGATGTAAGTGTTTTTGACCTCATGGGCCAAATATGTTACCCGACCGTTAAATTGATCCGGCTGTTAGGGAATATCTCATATTCTGTGGGATATTCTCTAATCAGGATCAGGCGTTACGGAGAAATCTGAGGAGAACGCGGATAGCGGAGAAAAATTAGGCAGCTATTTGGGGACGGAGAAGGAGGTAGAAAGCCTATATATAGAGAGGATTACCTCACCTCTGGATTATTAAAAAACTGAGAAAATCTCTATCGGAGTCCCCAAAATCAATCCTTCTCTCGTTCTTTCAGGATGCAGACAATATCATAATCCATATATGCAATGCAACAATCTCATAATCATATAACTCTAATTTTAATCAACAACTCAAATAAATAAATAAAAATCCTGAACCCTAAATTGAGCATTCTATGCCCTAGAGTTTTAATTTCAATTAAACTATACCACAAATGAGGGCTGACAATCACCACAAAGATATCTAATTGATATTAAATTTTAAACTCTAGAAATTAGATTTTGATGAAAACCCTAGATTTAAATGTTCAAGAAGAGAAAAATCCTAGATTTTTAAATGTGGAAGAAGAAAAAAAGGAAGAGAAATTACCTAAGAGACTTTCTTGTCGAATTTCGGTGAGAAAGTCGCCAAAAAATCTGGGTTAGGGGGACTCGGGTAGGTTGAGGAGGAAGAGGGACCAGAGTGGGTTTGGGGAAAAATCGAAGAAGAGAAGTTATGATAGGGATCAGATGATTTTATACTCGATTAGGGCCCACCGTAGTTAGGAAATAATTGAGGTTGGGACCCTGAATATTTCCTCACTTAGGGGGGTTATTCATCGGTGTAATTTGAGAGATAATGAGATAATTTTAGGAACATCATTTTTTGATGTTATTTATTAAGGTAATTGGAACTGGAGTCAACTTTATGATGTTATTAGTTTATTAAAACAGGGGACAAATACTTCATTTTCCCCTAAATTGCACCAACCATATAAAGATCCACTCCACCTCTTCATTATAATTACCCCAAATGAATTGCTGGAACAAGATTGGGGGTAATCTTACCCCTTTCAGCGCCTCTTCTTCCCAGCGCCTCTTCTTCTCAGGCTAACTCCGCCTCCCAAAACCCTAACCCCAATGAAGCTAAGAACCCGCCCTCACCGCCGTTGCCGAGGAGGACTCGTCGCCGATCTCATCGGAGATCACCAAATCGATTCCTCACAAGCGATTCGGCCAAGACGACGACGACGAGGTCGATGGAGGGGAACCGAACGAAGAATTCGGCCAAGATTCTATCTTTGCCGATGTGCCCGAGGATGACTGCGACGTGAGGAGGGAGATTATTGAGCTGGGGTTTCCAGATGATGGATACAATTACTTGCTTCATCTTAACAGCAAAGCGAAGCTTGATCAACTGCCGCTTGACGTCAAGGTATAAATTGTGATTCTAAACCGGTGAAATTCACTGCAATTTTGAAATTTTGATTGGAACTTTTGAGGTTTTAACAAGGTGAGATGTGAATGCTAATATATTTCAGTTATTAGTAGTGGAGCCATCAAAATCGCAAATTTTTATATACTTTTGATAAAATAATTGAATAATTTTGTTGTTGGTAATGTTTTTTATAACGGCAGAATTTTAGATGTCACTCAATTGTAATTAATTGTGCTACTCATTTGTTGGTAACATTTTATCATCATCATTGTAATTAATTGTGCCACTCAATTTATCCCAATATCCCAATTTACCCCACTTTATCCCACTCAAATTATCCCAATGGGTAAAATTATCCCATTGGGATAATTATCCCAATTTGCCGCAAATTATCCCAATGAATAACCCCCCTTTAGCTAATTTCCAATTTGGCCGAGTCCTTGAGGACTCTTTGCCAAATGGTCACGGTTCCCAATGTTGATCAATTTTGTTGGGTTCGAAAACCTGACTAATTTGCCCTTAAGCATATTAGTGCCCGCTGCTCCTAATTACTCAACTAATTAGTCGGAGTTGACAACCTTGACTAATTAGCATCACGGTTTTTTTAAAAACGATTTAATTTCTGGCCACAATACTGATGTGGCTAGAAATTGGATCGATTTTCATAATAAAAACTTAATTGGATCGATTTATCGGATTAAAGTTGTGATTGAGTTTATTTTGAAAATTTCTCCTTTTAACTTCTCTTATGTTTTGTTATCCTCCTTTCCGCAATAAGTAAACTCCCAAACATAGTAACAGTTCTTTCAACATCGGGTGTTTCCTAGTTAAAAAAAAGGGGCTGTTTGGTTCGTTTTTTTAACTCGGTGGAAAAGTTTTACACCGCCTCCACATCAGATTTTTCGTGGCCACGTAGGATATAAGCTTTCCGTCGGTTTTTTTCCCATCTTTGGTTCGCTAGGGTTGAAGAAGGGAAACTCGGTGAAAATCGCCGCCACATCAGATTTTTTTCTCTCCCCCAATTCCTTCCTCAACCTCGTGAAATCGATGAAAACTGCAGCTACGTCAATTTTTTGCCATATAAACAAAAGTTTTTCCTTTTTTCCATGCGAACCAAACACAAGAAAAATAAATACATTGGTTTCCCACCATTTTTTTGTGCGAACCAAAGCGAAACAATCTATTTCTTGAAAAAGTTTGGAAAACTCAAAACTTGTGTTTTTGTACATGGAAATGCATTTCCTTATATCTAGGAAACGAACCAAACAGCCCCTAAATAAAAAAATAAATAACATTATGGTTTTCATGATAAGTGGGCAATCCGATTAATCGACCTCTTTTTCCCCTCATCTCCCCCTAATTTCTCCCCAAACCCTAAAAATTTCTCCCCATAACCCTAAATTGGCTCCCTTCCATCTCCATTCAATCTTCCTTCATGGAGGAGGAAGAAGCAGCTAGATCTCAGCAGCAGCAGCAGCAGCAGAGGAAGCACAGGGGATTTGATATGGGCTTGGAGCAAAGGAGGAATGCTCCAAGGCTGCGCTTTCTCCACTCTCTTCCCTCAGTACGGAGGTAATGCCAACTCTCAGTTGATCTGTTTATAGACGACTTATGATAAAAAATCTGTAAAGATGTCAACTTTGTAATTAGGATAAATACAAAATATTTTTATCAATTCTCTTCCCTCTACAGAAAAAAAAAAAAAACTTATAAGAGGCCTGGCCAATTAATTGAATGTGAGCTCAACTTGGTAAGTAACCAAAGCCTTTTTAGTAAAATTATTTTCTTTTCTATGAAAGGATGCATCACATTGCTTGACATCGATGCTCGTTGAATTTTCTTTGCTTCCTTAGGTTGAGGGATCAATGACTGTTTCAACTACTAGGAAGACTAGAGACCCATATATTTTCATCAAAGCCAGGGACCTCGTAAACTTTTTGCCTGCGCGTCTTTTTCCTCCCAATTATAATGTGCTAAGTGACCTATGAAGCTCTTATTCATGGAGCATATTGTAAACATCATTTGCTGTTTTTCAAGAACATATAAGATATTTGTGGGTTAGAGTGAAGAAGTGCTTCTTGAATATGGGGTGGTTCTAGAAACTGATAACATGATACAGCCATGCTTCAAGTGTTGGACAATTAAGAAACATGTCTTGAAAATAAAGATAGCTGAAATGAGATTGTTAAAATTGTTTAGATGGCTTAGCGGAATAAAACTTGAAAGGTAGAATAAGAAATTACGTCGTTCTCAAGAAGTTAAAGGTACGTGTAATAGGGGATGTAATGAGATGGATTGACTGAGATTTGAGATTGTTTGGCGCTTGTTAGGAACAGTAATTGCATCAGTTAGTAAGACTAGTAATCTTGTAGTTGGAACAAGTTAGGCTGTGTGTGGATATATGATCATGGATTCAGGAGGTTAAATGGATGGATACTTGTTAATAATAGAGTGATGTCCCTTCGTAAAGCTTAATGGAGAAGCCTAAGGTCAACCATAATTTTGGGAAAAGGCTTGGTGCTCTCCAATGTCTCCATGATTTAGGTTGCTTTTCTTCTTCTATATTTCAGAATAAATTCTTTGAGAGCTAAAACACTATTAGTTCATTTGTTTCTTTCTCTGGTCACTTTAACTAAAATTGTGGTTTGAATTCCTTTCGATATTGTAGGCAGTCAGAATACTGAATGATTAGATGCAATGTGACATTATAAAGATCGGCAACCTCATATGTAACAAGGTATTATACTTTCTTTTCTTTTGCTTCAGATCCTCTGCAGATGCAACAACATATATATTTTCCTCATACTTTCTTTTCAAAACTTTGTTTAGTCCAACTATGTGATACAACATTTAGACATTTTATGTGAAGAGGGCTTCATAAATAGCCATTCTCTTGATAGCTTGGTGGGAGAACATACAGTTTCTCCAGCACATTCTCAATATGCTAAGAGCTAGAAGTAAAAGGCACAAAAGTAAAATGAGTGGATCCTATTTTCTCTCATGTTGAATTAAATGGTGATTGAGCTGTCAATAGATGAAACTTCCTAGCAGCTTATAAGCTGTAATGATCACTACTGTTCATACATTTTGATATCTTTGGTATAAGATACTTGCGATGTTGACAGGACACTTGTTGTTTCAGAACTTAGGCCTGCTCAAATTGCTTTTAAAAATATTGTAGTAAACCGACTTTATACTTGTGCTTAGGCACGTAATCCTTCATTTAAGCGCTTTGATCTGTGATGTGGCAATTTTGATGATAAATGTATAATATTGATGCTCCATGGTTTAACGTACTGATGTGAATTAATCTACTTGCAAAAAAAACATTTCTCAGTTGACATTTAATCGAGATATTATCCAAATGTGCTTTATACAACTGGTACTTGTTAAGTATTCATATCACATTGTAAAATGCTTCAACAACTATGATATTTTGTTTGTGCTTCCATTGGATATACAATCATGGCCTCTCTGTGTAAATCAAAATCTCAATAAAGACAAATATGCAAAGTCAAGTTTTTTTTCATTATGATCAGCATAATTAAGCAAGTGTCAGTACACTTGCTGCTCTGATTATGTCTTCGCTGCTGCAATCATCATGTTTCAGCAATTTTTTTTTCAATAAATTGGCCCATGTTCCTTGTTTGATTTTGTAAAATGATCTTCTTCATAGTGTCATGTTCGCTTAGCTTCTATTGGTTTGAAACACCAGTTTTGATGTCTTACTTGATTATTTAACAGCATCATCTACACTATGTGCATAATTCAAATTCTGAATCACATAACGTGATGGATATCTAAGAAGCTACTAGGTCACTTGGGGCACACTTGTGATAATCTGTGTGTCATGATCAGATCACAATGCTGTCACAACATTGACGATGTTAATTTGATGCTATTCCTTGAAAGAACTAAACTTTTGCATACTTGAACAACTTGCATGTGTTCATCTTCTCATTTGCATATTTGTCTTCATGCTATAGCTTTGTTAGTTTAATAATTATTTTAGCTACCATGCCATGTTCTTCTTGATAAAATCTCTGTACAGATGCAGTTTTTGCTATTATATGTTTTACTTGATGGTTGTGTTGTAGGAGTTTTTCCTCTCCATCAAGGCTGTGAATCTCCCTTCCCTAATTTTGTTGAGACATGATTCTGGTGTTTATTTGTCTTTTGTTTGCTTTTTACTGCTTTTAGTGAACTTTAATGCTAAGTGATGTGGATTGTTTCAGATTGATCTTCAAGCGGAAAGTGGTGAGTATTTCTCAAGTGAGAAAAAGAAGACTGCGAAGAAGTGGGAAGAGAAGCAGGAGAAGCAGGCAGCAAAGACAGCTGAAAACTAGAGGAAGAGAAAGGCTGCATTTGTTCCGCCAAATGTTCACTCTGCAACCAGTGGCAGTTCTATTGTTTTGATAAAAGACATTTCTCATTTTGGAATTATTCTGATAACTTGGCATGCTTTTTAGGAATCCTCTGCTCATGCATCTGATAGCGCTAAATCTGACAATGTCAAGAGTGAGGCGTCTGATGTTGCGGCGTCTTTGAAGGTAATTGGTTTTTCTTCTTTGTTTTCTTGCCTCTTGAGGAGTAAGCATTAATTCTTGCATATCTTGTGTATCTGACTTCAGTCTTTATTTAGACATAATTGCAGCTGTGTTATGAACTCCTGTCAGTTCACTTAGTTTCTGCATATTTTTAGTTTTGAACTTGGGCAATGCAATATACAGACTTTTTACTGCCAGCATATGTTGCATTGACACAGATACATTGAACCAAATGCAATACAGATATAGGACATACTTACAATACCGCAACAACACAACATATCATGTCCAATACAGTGTCCAACGTGACACAGTCACAAAATTCAAGTGCATGTGCTTTCTATGAGGCTGCCATTTCCTTAGGCATAACCAGTTTCCTTCTGGCTTTAATTTCTAGTAAAGCACTTGCATCTAATCCTGTATATCTCAAAATTAAATCTCGTGGTTTGCCCCTCCTTGTATGTGTATTCAGTGATTGTGTAAAACTCGTGCTAAATCTGTTGTGAGGGAATATTTAGGAAAATGTGACAGTTTTGTTGGTATCGAAATGAATTGGTTTAGAGACCTTGAGAATCATTATGGATGTATGTCTCACTGAACATTCTTTCTAGAGTAGTTTTTAATATGAATTAACATAAATTTTGTTATAGCTAGTTCTATATAATCAAATTACTTTATGGATAGAGAAATACAAAAATGAACATAGCCTAATGGGAAGTTGAAAGGTTAACGTTCAAATTATTTGAGGAATAACCCTTTTCTTTTAGATTCTTTGGTCTATTTTTTCTTCTGAATATTTATTGGTAACACCATAGCAGCTCTATTGCTTGCTGGAAAAATGAACGTTCAGTTAATCCTCAAATAATTTCCGTGCATAGAACCATGAATAAATAATTTGCATCCAATCTGTCAAATTTGGAGTGGAAGTGTTCCAACAAATTTTCCCAAGATAAGCGTGATTTTAATGAAGTAATTGTTCATTCAGTCCATTTCCTGTGATTGCGCCCAGCTTAACTGGTCAAACGCTGACCAATATTTGTTACTTACTACTGTGATTGCCAAAGTCTAACAAATATGCATGGTGATTTTGATTAACTAAAAGATGAGTTATGGACATTTGTTTGGATAATTGCTCCATGCAAGCCACGTAGTAAAAGTTTGCCTGCCATATATGGTGATTTTGATTAGCTAAAAGATGAGTTATGGACATTTTTTTTGGGGTGGGGTGTGGCTCGTTCTGTGAGCAGCCAAGCAAACTGTTTATGGGAATATTATTAATTAGAGAATATAAATATAGAATATATATGAAAGCAGGGCGGTGGGACGGGGCGCCGGGGCATGGCCCTGGCCAGAAAAAGTGCCGAGAACTATAGTTGGAGTTAATCTAGTTACTAAGAAGAAAAAGAATTACAAGGTGAGACTACTAATCTGGTTACTAATATCGCTTACTTGGAATTGGATTAGAAGTCGAAACAATGTGATCTAGCTTTCTAATGTAAAAGGATTGAAAATTTAATGTTTTTATGACTTAGTGATTATATGTATCAGTATTGGCCTACTCTTTTTTTTTTTTCAAAATTTTGTTTTCTCGTTTGTTCTATTGAGAACTTCAGACTTTTCTTTAATAGACATTTTTCATTTTTAATGTGTAATGTTGAATTAGAGTTTGAGAACTTTCTGTTTTTTGTACTCATATGGTTTGATTAGGGAAGTTTTGCGTGTCCTTTGTAACATTCTTAAAGAAATTATGCATAGCTAACATACTATAGTACATGTGTGATTTTACTCTAATGCAAGCATTCGATCATTGTCTCAGTCGTTATCTTTGCTTGAATTGGCATAATCAGTTTGAATTAAGCAAAACATGATGAGTAGTAAAATTGGGAAACCGTAACCAGAGTTGTGGTCCAAGAGATGAACAAAATCAGATGCATTAGGTGTCATTTTTAACTTTGTACAAGCCTAAAAAATGTAAGTCAATGCAAGTTTTTGTCCTACATTTTCCTTCTTCTCGTAGTATTTCTTGCAAAATGTTTGCTTGATATTTAATGCAAGAACATGATCATTGTCTTAGTCTTTATCTTGATCTTGAGTTGGCACTTGAGTATCAGCTTGAAATTAAACAAAATTCAATGTGATAAGTACACATAATTGATTGTCTATGTAATGGGCTCTAATCTACGATATTTGTTCATTTTTGTTTGTTACCCGATGATAAATAATTATGCGGAGTTTAAAATTCATGAGTTTCATGAGCTATAACCAAAGATTTCTATTCATTAGATTCGATTTGACCCGAAGAACATTCACGATTTTATAAGTTAAACGCCACAATTTTTTTTATTTTTGTTCGTTTCAACCCAACGATAAATAATTATGCAAATTTTAAATTTTATGATTTCATAAGCTATAACTCATAATTTTTATCTATTTTTATTCATTTCAATCAAATGACAAATAATTAAGCCGAGTTTAAAATTCAAGATGTTCATGAGCTATATAATCTATGATTTTTATTCATTTTCGTTCGTTCTGGCCTAATGATAAATAATTATGCGGAGTTATAGAATTCATGATTTTATGAACTATAATTTTAATCCATTTTTAATTATTTTGACCTTATGAAAAATAATTAAGAGAGTTCAAAATTTACGATTTTTATGGGCTATAAATTATGCTTTTGGTTCATTTTCATTTGTGTTGACCTAATAGTAAATGATTATGTAAAGTTTGAAATTCATGGTTTCATTGCTATGAACCATAATTTCTGTCCATTTTTGTTCATTTTGACCAAATGGAAAATAATTATGTGGAGTTCAAAATTGACATTTTATAAAGTAAAATATATGATTTTTGTTAATTTTTCTCCATTTTGACCCAATGGAAATAATTAATTGTACTTTTAAATTCCGATTTTCATGAGCTATAATCCATAATTTTTGTTTATTTTTTATTGTTTCGACCCAATGTAAATAGTTATTTAGATTTTAAAATTCATGATTTCATGAACTATAACCTATGATTTATGTCCATTTCGTCTATGTAGAGGTCAAAATTCACAATTTCATGAGTTATAATGATAATTTTGTCCATTTTTTATTGTTTCGAGCAGATGATAAATAATTAAGTAGAGTTTAAAATTCATGATTTTTATGAGCTATGAATCATAGATTTTGTTGAGCTTTGTTTAAATTGGACTAATAGCAAATAATTATGTAGAGTTTAAAATTCATAATTCAATAAGCTAACCTATGATTTTTTTTTTCATTTTCATTCATTTTGTAAAAAATACTAAATAATTATTCAGAGTTCAAAATTGACTATTTTATAAATTATAATCTACGATTTTTGTTCATTTCGACACAGTGACAAATAATTAAGTTGACTTTAAAATTCACGATTTTCATGAGCTATAATTCATGATTTTTGTTCATTTTCTTACAATTTGACCTAATGACAAAAAATTCACAATTTTTTGAGCTATGACTCATGATTTTTGTCTATTTTCATTTGTTTTGATTAAGTGATAAATAATTATGTGGAGTTTAAAATTCACTATTTAATGACCTATAATATAAGAATTTGTTCATTTTTGTTCCTTTTGACTCAAATGAAAAATAATTATGCGGAGTTTATAATCCACCAGTATCATGAGCTATATAACCCATAATTTTTATTCTGTTTGCTTCGACCCTTCAACATATAATTGTGCGGATTTTTAAATTAATGATTTCATGAGCTATAACTCATAATTTCTGTTCATTTTCTTTTGTTACAATCCAATGGTAAATAATTATGTGCAATTCAAAAGTTACGATTTTATAAGCTAATACCTGCAATTATAATCCATCATTTCGATCAAATGGCAAATAATTAACCCAAGCTTAAAATTCATGATTTTCATGAGCTATAACCCATAGTTTATTTTTTTAATCATTTTATTTGTTTTGACTTAATGTTAAACAATTATGTCATTTTGGCCATTTTTAGTCATTTAGATCCATTAGCAAATAATTTCAGGGAGGCTAGAATTCACATTTTTAGGAGCTATAACCCATAAATTTTGTCGATTTTTATTCATTTTGACCCATTGACAATTAATTTCGTGGAAGCCGAACTTTACAATTTCATAAGCTAGAATCCACAATTTGTTTTCATTTTAGTCATTTTGACCTATTGACAAATACTTTCGTAGTGGCTACAATTCACGATTTCATGAGCTATAGTTTATGGGTTTTTTGTCATTTTTAGTCGTTTCTATCCATTGACAAATAATTTTGCGGAGTCTGAAATTCACGATTTAGCTATAACCCACGATTTTTTGCCATTTCTAGTCATTTCGACCCGTTGGCTAATAATTTTATGGAGGCTAAAATTCACGACTTCGTGAACTAACCCATGATTTTTGACTATTTTTATCACTTTGACCCATTGACAAATACTTTTACGGAGGTAAAAATTAAATATTTCATGAGCTATTAACTATGATTTCAGCCATTTTTAGTTGTCACGATCTGTTGATAAATGATTTCACTGAGGTTAAAATTTACGATTTTGTGAGCTATAACTCTTGATTTTTGGCCTTTATTCGTCGTTTCAAACACTTATCTCTTTTGCTAGAGCGTTGCAAAGATCGTCATCTTGTAACATTCGTCTTGACTCCTTGAAAATATGAGAGTCGTCAGATTGTAACTCCCGATGTTGATTGTGAAGGCTGTTGAATTAGAGATTTCATCGGTTGTGAAGTTTGTCAGATTGTAACCTTCATCGATCTACGTGAAAGTTTTTAAATTATAGCCTTTTGGAAGCCGTAAAATTGTAACTTTTATCCTCGGTGTTTGATGGGGATCAACTATCTGCAGTAATTTTTAGACAGCCTACAGTCTTACGTAGGTGCCTAGATCTTCATAATCCCCATATGGTCGAATGACGACTGTAGGAGTCGACCATAGAGTTATGCCTTGGGTTTATCCTGAGAAGGTACCACCAAGGGCTTGTTGACATACCAACCCTGAGGTTGGGCCGCCCAAGGCTTATTTGGATGCCTGGGTTTCTGATTAACCATGATGGTCGAGTTGCATTGCAGGATTCGACTATATGTTATTCCTTGGGTTTACCCTGAAGAGGTACCAATGACTTGAAATTCGACTGAGGAGTTGAATGCTTAGAACTCTTGAGAGTTGACTAGGTCTTTGGCAGCAATGATGCTGAATGATAACCCTAAGGTTGGGTGCCTAAGTCTTACGTAGGTGCCTAGATCTTCATAATCCCCGTATGGTCGAATGGCGACTGTGGTAGCCGACCATAGGGTTATGCCTTGGGTTTATCCTGAGAAGGTACCAAGGGCTTGTTGACATACCAACTCTGAGATTGGGTCGCCTAGGACTTATTTGGACACCTATGTTTCTGATTAACCATGATGATCGAGTTGCACTGGAGGATTCGATCATATGTTGTGCCTTGGGTTTACCCTGAAGAAGTACCAACGGCTTGAAATCCGACTTAGGAGTCGAATGCCTAGAACTCTTGAGAGTTGACTAGGTCTTTGGTAGCCATGAGGCTGAATGACAACCCTAAGATTGAGTGTCTAGGTCTTACGTAGGTGCCTAGGTCTTCATAATCCCCGTATTGTCGAATGACAACTGTGAGAGTCGACCATATGGTTGTGCTTTGGGTTTATCCTGAGAATGTACCAAGGGCTTGCTAACATACCAACTCTGAGGTTGGGTCACCCAGGACTTATTTGGACGCATGGGTTTTTGGTTAACCATGATGGTCGAGTTGCACTGGAGGATTCGACCATTTGTTGTGCCTTAGGTTTACCCTGAAGATGTACAAATGACTTGAAATTGGACTGAGGAGTTGAATGCCTAAAACTCATGAGGGTTGACTAGGTCTTTGGTAGCCATGAGGCTGAATGACGACCCTAAGGTTGGGTGCCTAGTTTTTACGTAGGTGCCTAGGTCTTCAGCACTAGTGAAGGCTTGATCCCTGCGAGATAAGAGTTAATTCATATTTGACAAGATTTCATTAGTACTGAAATTTACATGATTATGGAAAGTATCCATTGCAGACATCTGATGCCCAAGCGTGTTGAACCACTTGTGATCTTGCTTTGTCTTTGTTTCAAAGGCAGCTTTGTAGTGGACGAGGCCGCCAATATAGAGCATCTTTAGTTGGATTTTGCTTTTACCATAGCAAACGAATCAATGATAGATGAAGATGATTTGAAACTCTATTTGCCATCTCATTAGCCAAGGTTCCTATTGAGTTTGAATTTTTAGTAAGGCCTTGAAGGTGGA